ACGTAGGGGTGTCTGTACACAAATTGTTCGAAATGCATTTAAGGTGAGAGGGGGAGACAAGAGGGGCAAGTTAAATTTTACATAGAGTGATAGGAGTGTGGAACACACTGCTAGGGGTGGTGTTGGAGGCAGATACGAGGGGGGCAGTTAAGGGACTTTTAGATAAGCACATGAATATGCAACAAATGGAGAGATATGGACCAAGGGCAGGCAGAAGGGATTCGTTTAATTTGGTGTCATGTTTGGCACAACATCGTGGGCCGAAGGGTCCATTCCTGTGCTGTACAGTTCCATGTTCTATGGTAGGAGAAGTTGACAAACTTGTTTAAAACAAAAGATACAGGTCTTTTGGTTAGTAAATGGAAGCACAGAGTCAAAAAGCAAGGCAGTGTAACCATAGGTTAGGCTCCATAGGGCCATAAGAATAGGAGCAGGCCATTCAGCCCATCGAGCCTGCTTCACCATTCTAAACGATCGTGCTTGATCAAGCACTTTAATGCATTTTACCCACCACATCCCCAGAAAGCTATCAAATTTTGTTTTTTGTCTAAATAAAAACTGAAAGAACTGTGGATGCTGTAAATCAGAAACTGCTGGATACGTTCAGCAGGTCTGGCAGCATCTGTGGAGAGCTTTTAGAGTTAACGTTTTGGGTTGAGTACGTTCTGAGGAAGGGTCACCGGACCTGAAACGTTAACTCTGATTTCTCTCCACAGATGCTGCCAGACATGCTGAGCTTTTCCAGCAATTTCTGTTTTCTACCTCTTAGCCAACCATTAATCCATGCCAGTACATTCCCTCCTCTCCCATGTATTTTACTGTTTCTAACCAGACTCCTGTGGGGCACTTTATCAAAAGCTGTCTGAAAATCCAAATATACAATGACCATCAGTTCTCTTTTATCATTTCTGTTTGTGACATTTTCAAAAAAAACCCAACAAGTTCGTCAAACACAATGTCCCATTCTCAAATCCATACTGATTCTGCCCAATTGGATCATTATCATCAGAGTGTCTGTGTATCCCATCCTTTACAATCAATTCTAACATTTTCCCTGCTCCTAATGGAAGGCTAACAGGGCTATAGTTCCCTATTTTCCCTCTTTTTAAAACTTTGTTTGATTTATTATTGTCACATGTACTGAGATACAGTGAAAAGCATTGTTTTGCATGCTATTCAGACAAATTATACCTTACATAAGTACATCAGGGTAATAGAACAGAGCAGCTACAGAGAAGGTGTAGAGAAAGATCAACTCTAATATATGAGAGGTCTGTTCATAAACTTGATAACAGCGGGGAAGAAGCTGTTCTTCAATCTGTTGGTAAGTGTTTTTGAACTTTTGTATCTTCTGCCCGATGGAAGAGGATGGAAAAGAGTATAACTGGGGTGGGAGGATGTACTTGATCATGTTAGCTGCTTTCCTAAGGCAGCAGGATATATAGATGGAGTCAATGGAAGGAAGGTTGGTTTGCGAGGTAGACTGGGCTGTGTTCACAACTCTCTGTAATTTCTCACGGTGTTAGGCAGAGCAGTTGCCATGCTACACCATGATGCATCCAGATAGGATGCTCTCTATGGTGCATCTATAAAACTTACTGAGAGTCATTGTGGACATGCTGAACAGCCTTAGCCCCCTGAGGAAGTAGAGGCGTTGCAGTGCTTTCCTGACCATCGTGTTGATGTGGATGGACCAGGACAGATTGTTGGTGATATTTACTGCCAGGAACCTGACGCTCTCCACCACCTCCCCCTCAGCACCACTGATACAGACAGGGGCATGTCCTCCACGCTGCTTCCGAAAGTCAATGACCAGCTCCTTCATTTCGCTGACACTGAGGGCGAGATTGATGTCTTTACAACATGCTGCTAAACACTCTATCTCTTTCCTGTATTCTGTCTCGTCATTGTTTCAGATCTGACCCACTACGGTGGTGTCATCAGCAAACTTTAAATGGAGTTAGAGCAGAATTTTGGCCCCACAGTGGTGCGTGTATAAGGAGTATCGTAAGGGGCGGAGTATACAGCTTTGTAGGGCACCAGCGTTGAGGATTATTGTGGGGGAGGTGTTGTTGCCTATCCTCACTGATTGTGGTCTCTGGGTCAGCAAGTCGAGGATCCAGTTACAGAGGGGGAGCCGAGCCCTAGGTCTTGGAGTTTGGAGATGAATTTTGTTGGAATTATGGTACTGGAGGTAGAGCCAAAGTCGATAAATAGGAGTCTGGTTGTAGGTGTTCTTGTTATCCAGATGTTCCAGGAATGTGTGCAGAGCCAGGGAGATGGTGCCTGCTGTGGATCTGTCGCACTAGTGGCCGAATTGTAGTGGATCCAGGTAATCTGGGAGGTTGGAGTTAATGTGTGCGATGCACTTCCTAACGATGGGTGTCAGAGCCACAGGGCAGTTGTCATGAAGGCACATTGCCTGGTTTTTCTTTAGCACTGGGATCATGGTGATCTTCTTCAAGCAGATGGGACCCTCCCATCGGAGTAAGGAGGGGTTAAAGATGTCTGTGAATACCTGCTCCCCCCCCACCAAGCTGGCCCACACAGGATCTGAGTGCACAGCCGGGGACTCCATCTGGGCCTGTAGCTTTCTGTGGGTTCACCCTCAGGAAGGTCAATCTGACGGCTGCAGCGGTGACTGTAGGTACAGGTACACTGAGGCTCTCTCACTCCCTTCTTAAACAGTGGGTGATGTTTATCACCTCCCAACTCACAGGAATCAGTACGGAATCTGTAGAATTTTGGAAAATAATCACCAAGACATTGACAATCTCTTTGCTGCCCCCTTCAACCCTCTGAGATGTAGACCATCAGGTCCTGGGAATTTATCAACTTTCAGCCCCATTCATTTCTCCGGTTGAATCTTCACACTCATTCTAATTTCATTCAACTCCTCATTCTCAGTCACTTGGGTTTCTAGTTCTGGAAGATTTCTAAAATCTTCCTCAGTGAAAACAGACACAAAGTAATCATTTAGTTTCTCTGTCATTTCTCCTTTCCCTATTAGAAAATCTCCTGACTCTGCTCTAATGGATCTACATTCATTTAGCTAAATATTTCCTTATTATAGGAGCTTTTATAGTCATTTTTATGTTTTTGTTAGATTGCATTCATAGTTGATTATGTTCTGCTTTGATTTGCTGCATTCCAAGAATTTCCCATTCCTCAGTTTTTCATAATTACTGGTGACTTTACAAGCTTTTGATTTTAATCATATAACATCCTCCAATGAGAACTGTGTTGAGTTCCAGGCTCTGAACTTTAGGAAGGATGTCATGGCCTTAGAGAGAGTACAGTGAAGATTACCCAGAGACAAAGCAATGACAAAGCTCATTGAGTGTGTAGAGACTGGAGAAGCTGGGACTGTTCACTTTTGAGCAGACGAAGTTCGATGGGAAGATTTAATGGAGGTTTTCAAAATGATAACAGTACTGATAGAGTAACTAAGATCATATAACCATGGGGTGGCACGGTAGCTCAGTGGTTAGCGCTGCTACCTCACAGCGCCAGGGACCCAGGTTCAATTCCACCCTTGGGTGACTGTCTGTGTGGAGTTTGCACATTCTCCCCGTGTCTGTGCGGATTTCCTCCGGGTGCTCCGGTTTCCTCCCACAGTCCAAAGATGTGCAGGTTAGGGTGGATTGGTCATGCTAAATTATCTGTAGTGTTCAGGGATGTGTAGATTAGGTGGGTTATAGGGAGATGGGTCTGGGTGGGATGCTCCAAGGTTTGGTGTGGACTTCCACGCTGGAGGAATTCTATGATCAAATAGTTTCCAGGGGTAGTAGGGTCAAGAACCAGAAGAGTTACAAATTAAGATCTCGTTAGGATCTGGGATGTGATGCGTGAAGGGGCCTGTGGAAGCTGATTCAACAGGAACTTTTAAAGGGAAATTGGAGAAATAGTCAGAATGAAGATAATTAAAGCCAGATAAGGAAAGAGCACTATATATAAATACAAAGAGAGAGAGAGAAACTAGATAAGCCTTCAAAGAGTGGGCAGGGGCTGATTGGCTGCATGTTTCAACTGGACACAGAGGGGACGGAAAAGCAGAGCGTGTTGCCTGGTGACAGCGTTATTGTGTTCCACAGAGACGCCACAATCCTTAAGGACTTACAAGTTCTGATTCGTGCTTGTGACCAGGGAGACGTCGGTCGTGGGACATGTTCTCAGAGGAGGAAATGATTTTGGAAATATGCAGCCTCTTCTTACGATCTTTCTTCAATGCTTCCACCTTCTGGTTGGACAAGCGACTGTGCTTTTTGGGCAGTGGATTGGAACTGTAACCTTCCTCAGCTGTGTCCAGAGAAATCGTCTGCTCACTCTCAGGAGGCTCCTTCACTACAAAACAAAACCCCAAACAAGCATTGATTTATTATCACGCTGAGCGGATCAACTGTCAGTACTGAGCGAGTGTGCAGTCTGACTTGTGGAGGAGGGCAGTCTGGGAGTCAGTAGAACCCTAGTGTTCCCTATCCCTCCCCCTCCCCGACAAATTTACTTTAAAACCCTCTCCACATCCCTAGTTCTATGATGCACCAGGACTCTCGTCCCAGCATAATTCAGGTGGAGCCCATCCCATTGGAACAGCTCCCTCCTTCCCCAGTACTGGGGCCAATGTTCCATAAATTCAAACCTGTTTCTCCCACACCAATCCTTGAGCCACATGTTTACCCCTTTAACCTTGTTGGCACAGGGTCAATTTGCTTGTGGCTCAGGTAGTAATCCAGAGATAATTACCTTTTTGGCTCTGTTTTATAATTTAGCCCCTAGCTGCTCATATTCCCTCAGCAGAACCTCTTTCCTTTTTCCACAATATCTTTGGTTCCTATGTGGACCACAACAATTGGATCTTTCCTCTCCCAATCCAAGTTCCTCTGCAGCCCAGAGGAGCTATCCTGAACTCAGGCCCCAGGCAGACAACACAGCCTTTGGGATTCTTGATCCTGGCTGTACAGAACACTGTCTATTCCACCCATTATACTATCCCCGATTACAACTACATGTCGCTTTTCTCTCACCCTCTATCCCAGCACTGTGGTCAGTTTCCTCATTCTCCCTACAGCCCCCACTCTCATCCACACAGGGAGCCAGAATCGCAAACCTGTCCATCAAGCTCAGAACTCAAAATATCAGCTTATCTTTTGTCCCACAGATGTTGCCAGACTTGCTGAGTTTCTGTAACTATTTCTGTTTTTATTTCAGGGCCTGTGTCTGGTGTAACTTAACAACTCAATCAACCCAACTGACTCTCACAATTACCTCGACTACGGCTTCTCTCACCCACCCTCCTGCAATTCACCAACTTCGCTAACATCTTCCACCGCACCCTCAAATTCACCAGGACTATTTCTGACACCTCCCTCCCCTTCCTGGACCTTTCCGCCTCCAACCCCGGAAACCGACTCTCCAATGACATTCATTTCAAATCCACTGACTCCCACAACTACCTCGACTACACCTCCTTTCACCCACCTTCTGTAAAAATGCTATCCCATACTCTCAATTCCTCTGCCTCCACCATATCTGCTCCCAGGATGAGGTGTTCTACTCTGGGACTTCCCAAATATTCTCCTGCTTTAGAGACTGTAGTTTCCCCCCCTTTGTTATTAAGGATGCCCTCATCACCCCCATTTCCCACAATTCTGCCCTCAAACCCTCTCCGCCCCCCAACAACAATAAGGATAGAATCCCCCTGGTCCTCACATACCACCCCACCAACCTCCGAATACAAGGCATCTTCCTCTGACATTTTCGCCACCTACAATCAGACCCCACCACCAAAAAGATATTTCCTTCCCCACCCCTGTTCCCTTTCCGCAGGGACCGTTCACTCTGTGGCTCCCTCGTCAGCTCCACACTCCCCACCAACCCCTCCACCAAACCCGGTACCTTTCCCTGTAACCGCAGGTGCTGCCAATCCTGCCCCCTACAGCTCCCGTCTCACCTCCTTCCAAGACCCCAAACAATCCTCCCAGATCCAGCAGAGATTCACCTGCACTTCATCTAAACTCATCGACTCATCTAAACCCATTGATCCCGATGTGGTCCCCTCTATATCAGGGAGACCACACGCAGACTCGGGGAGCGGTTCGTGGAGCATCTGTGCTCTGCACGCATCAACCAACCAGACGTTCCGGTTGCCATGCACTTTAACTCCCACTCCCACTTCCCCTCCCACTCCCCCTCCCCTTCCCCTCCCATTCCCCCTCCCCGTCCGCTGGTGACATGTCCATCTTTGGCCTCCTCCACTGTCAGATTGAGGCCAAACACAAACTGGAGGAACAACACCTGATATTTCACCTCAGGAGCTTACAGCCCAATGGTCTCAGTATTGACTTCACCAGCTTCAAAATCCGTCCTCCCCCAACCTGTCCATCTTCCGACTCACCTATCTGCTCCACCCTTCCTACTGACCAACGACAATAACCCCCTACCTGCATCCACCTATCTCCGTGCCACCTACCTTTCCTCCAGCCCCTACCCTCCTCCGTCTATTTATTTCTGGGTCCCACTCCCCCTCCCCAGTCCTGATGAAGGGTTTTGGCCCAAAACATTGACTTCCCTGCTCCTCAGATGCTGTCTGACCTGCTGTGCTTTACCAGCTCCATATTTATTGACTCTAGTTTCCAGTGTCTGCAGTCCTTACTGTCTCCAAGCTGAGTAATGCTGCCTCCCATTTCCTGCAGACTGTTTGGGATGGACAAAGATAGTGAGGTTAGACTGCAGTCAGCTGAACTCTCTCTCTCTCTTTCACTGCCTCTCACCCACACTCCCGTCCCACCTCAACTTGCTTCCCTGCCAACTTTCCTTCCCTACATGCCCACACCCAATCTCCATAGCCCCACACAGCTCTCTGCGATCTCACTGCTAATTGGGAAGCAGTAATGAATCTTGGTTGACCTTTCAAAACCAGGAGAACTCCCTTCTCTTTATCAAATGCAGTTTTGTCACCAAACATCCCAGGTAGGACAGCAACAACTTTCATTTAAGTTGAGCCTTTAACATTAACAACACAAGGTGCTTGTGAAGTGCACTGTTGGAGGATGAGTCAAGAATTACAAACAAGTGAATTTGGAGTAGAGAAGTCCAATATGACGATGGCTGATCTGATCTGATCTGATCACCCCACATTCTGGCCTGTCCCTGATAACCTTTTACCCCCTTGTCCATCAGGGATCTCTCCACACCTGACTTGGAAATTCTCAAGGACTCTGCTTCCACCAAGGCTCATGAGCCTCTGAGGGAAGACAGAGATTTGGGCATTACTGGCTGGGCCAGCATTTATTGCCCATTGTTGCCCCCTGAGAAGGTGGTGGTGAGCTGCCTTCTTGAACAGATGTCCTGTTGAATGGTTGACCTCCAACAACCATGACCATCTTCCTATGTGTCAGGTATGACTCCAACCACCGGAGCGTTTGCCCCCTGATACCCATTGATTCCAGTTTTGCCAGGACTCCTTGATGCCACACTCAGTCGGATGCAGCCTTGATACCAAGGGCTGTCACTCTCACCTCACCTCTGGAATTCAGCTCTTTTGTCCACGTTTCAACCAAGGCTGTAATGAGGTCAGGAGCTGAGTGGCCCTGGCGGAACCCAAACTGGGCGTCACTGAGCAGGTTATTGCTGAGCAGGTGCTGCTTGATAGCGCTGTTACTGACACCTTCCATCACTTTACTGATGATCGAGAGGAGACTGATGGGGCGGTAATTGGCCGGGTTGGATTTGTCCTGCTTTTTGTGTACAGGATATACTTGGGCAATTTTCCACATTGTCGGGTAGATACCAGTGTTGTAACTGTACTGGAGCAGCTTGGCTAGGGGAGCGGCAAGGTCTGGAGCACAAGTCTTCAGTACTATTGCCGGAATATCGTCAGGGCCCATAGCCTTTGCAGTATCCAGTGTCTCCAACTGTTTCTTGATATCACGTGGAGTGAATCGAATTGGCTGAAGACTGGTATCTGTAATGCTGGGGACCACTGGAGGAGGCCGAGATGGATCATCCACTCGGCACTTCTGGCTGAAGATTGCTGCGAATGCTTCAGCCTTACCTTTTGCACTGATGTGCTGGGCTCTTCCATCATTGAGGATGGGGATATTTGTGGAGCCTCCTCCTCCAGTGAGTTGTTTAATTATCCACCACCATTCACACCCGGATGTGGCAGGACTGCAGAGCTTAGATCTGATCCATTGGTTGTGGGATCGCTTAGCTCTGTCTATCACTTGCTGCTTTCACTGTTTGGTGTGCAAGTCATCCTGTTTGGTGGCTTCACCAGGTTGGTATCTCATCCTCAGGTATGCCTGGTGCTGCTCCTGGCATGCCCTCCTGCACTCTCCATTGAACCAGGGTTGATCCCCTGGTTTGATGGTAATGGTTGAGTGGGGGATATGCCGGGCCGTGAGGTTACAGATTGTGCTGGAGTACAATTCTGCTCCTGCTGATGGCCCACAGCGCCTCATGGATGCCCAGCCTTGAGTTGCTCGATCTGTGCGAAGTCTGTCCCCTTTAGCACGGTGATAGTGCCACACAACATGATGGAGGTTGTTCTCAATGTGAAGGTGGGATTTTGTCTCCACAAGGACTGTGCGATGGTCACTCTTACCGATACTGTCATGGACAGATGTAACTGCAGCTGGCAGATTGGTAAGGATGAGGTCAGGTATGTTTTTCCCTCTTGTTGGTTCCCTCACCACCTGCCGCAGACCCAGTCTAGCAGCTATGTCCTTTAGGGCCCGACCAGCTCGATCAGTATTACTGCTGCCGAGCTACTCTTGGTGGTGGGCATTGAAATCCCCCACCCAGAGTACATTTTGTGCCCTTGCCATCCTCAGTGCTTCCTCTAAGTGTTGTTCAACATGGAGGAGTACTGATTCATCAGCTGAGGGAGGATAGTATGTGGTAATCAGCAGGAGGTTTCCTTGCCCATGTTTAACCTGAAGCCACTAAACTTTATGGGATCTGGAGTCAATATTGAGGATTCCCAGAGTAACTCCCTCCCAACTGTATCCCGCTGTGCCGCCCCCTCTGCTGGGTCTGTCCTGCCGGTGGGACAGGATATACCCAGGGAAGGTGATGGTGGTGTCTGGGACAGTGTCTGTAAGGTATGATTCTGTGAGTATGACTATATCAGGCTGTTGCTTGACTAGTCTGTGAGACAGCTCTCCCAATGTTGGCACTGACCCCCAGATGTTAGTGAGGAGGACTTTGCAGGGTCGACAGTGGTCTTTCTGCCGTTGTCTTTTCCGGTGCCTAGGTCAATGCCAGGTGATCCATCCAGTTTCATTTCTTTGAGAGTTTGTAGTGATTGGTACAAGTGAGGGGCTTGCTCGGCCATTTCAGAGGGCAACTGAGAGTCAGCCACATTGATGTGGGTCTGGAGTCACATGTAGTTCAGACTAGCTGAGGGTGGCAAATTTCCTTCCCTAAAGGAGATCAGTAAGCCTTTAAATGGATGACACTTGATTGTTAAACAGTGATCTCAAGTCCTCGATTCTTCTGTTTGGAGAAACACCATCACATTTACCCAGCAAAACCCTTCAGATCTTATCAATTTTAACACAGTTTTAGGATCATTTGAGACAGAGAGAGAGAGAGAGAGATTTCAGGCAGCGAATTCCAAAGTTTGGGGCCTGGCAGCTGAAGGTACAGTTGGGGGGCTGGAAGCAATAACAGAATGTGAACTGGAGAGTGGGGATTTTAAATTGGACATGTTACAGTAGTGAGCTGAGCCTGAGTTTATATCAGCCTGCAGGGCTGGCCTGTACTGGTTTGTGATGGTTACACACTGCACCAAGCACACTCTCTAAACAAGAACCGCCAACATTCAAAATCTTAGCTTTTCAAAAACAGAAGAATGGGAACATCTGAACAGGCAGCATTTAGGATGGAAAGCAAATAGCCTCCCTAATCACTCTGTATCTTTAACACGACAAAAAAACTCTGGTCACTGGAATGCTGTCAGTGCTGAGGGAAGGAGCCCAGAATTTCAGCCTGAGCCTTTATCGCAGTTTTATCGGATGTAAATGAACTCTGGATTGAATCATGTGCAGATGGTCTTGTCACTTGCAGTTCACTTTAAAAAGCTTCAACGAGGAACAGGAACTTGCTTGGATCCCGTTACAACAGCCAGAGATTACCAAAGCAAGACTGTTACACTAAACCCTTTCCAAATCACTAGTTCAGGCCTCGGTGTTAGAGTTGTGTCTGATTCAGTCTCCACCCTTTAGGAAGGATGTCAGGGCCATGAGGAGATTCACTCAAATGGGACCAGAGACCAGGGAGAGACTGAAGGGGTTGTTTAAAATCTAATGCTGGCATTTTAATGGAGGTGTTTAAATTTCTGAAAGTATTTTAATCAAGCAAGTAAAGAAAAGCTGCTCCCAGTGGCAGGAGAGTCAGTCGCCAGAGGGACAGAGATGGAAGATATTACAGTTCAGGGAAAGGCCAGTATCTCTGGGTGAAGGACTGGTGGGAATGGAGAAGATGAGGTACAGGGAGAGGGGTGGGGGGCAAAAGGTGGGGTGTGATTGGAGGGTGGTCAGTGCAGCAGGCAGGTAGGAGAGGAAGGGAAAGGTGAAAAAGGATGGTTTTGCTATATCCTCAAATTCTGGCAATGAGCAAAACAGGCAGCAGTAGAATCTGGCTCCAAATCGACACTGAGCAATGATGCCAACAACTGCCTTGCAGACTTTAAATATATCAAAAGGTTTGGTGTCTGGTTACACCAGAAACTCACTTCACTGCAACACCATCCCAGTGAGAGTCAGTGTATGTGGGACTGTACCCCAGTGAGAGTCAGTGTGTGTGGGACTGTATCCCAGTGAGAGTCAGTGTGTGTGAGACTGTACCCCAGTGAGAGTCAGTGTGTGTGGGACTGTACCCCAGTGAGAGTCAGTGTGTGTGGGACTGTACCCCAGTGAGAGTCAGTGTGTGTGTGGGACCGTACCCCAGTGAGAGTCAGTGTGTGTGGGACTGTACCCCAGTGAGAGTCAGTGTGTGTGGGACCTATGATGCATTAGGTTTTCTCAGTAATTCTAAAACTGCAGATTTTCAGAAGAACAGCTTGCCTGAAAATTATGCAGACACTTTCAACTCAGTGAAAAACATTTCTGTTACCTCTCCTAATTATATCAACAATATCATTCTGTTGCTCTGCCTAACTGCAATGGGTCATGGGCAATTGCATGATTGTGATTATGCAAATTAATTTATTTCAGAAACTAGAAGGCAGGAACCTCCTGCACAATTTCAATCGCATTTTGAGCACAATTTCCTATTTCACGTCCCAAGTCCGGAATCTGACCAAACTTTATTATGGCCTTCGAGGGTCAGACTGGGGATCACTGTCTGCCAAACAGGCTCCTGGGCACATCTCTGCTGTGCTGGTCCTGACTGGGTTTTACTGTGTTTCTCCCGGTCATTATCTGATCGCAGAATACAACAGCAGACCCACCAGGATCAGAGGTGCGACAGTCACACAGGACTAAAGGAATCAGTCCCGTTCCAACAGGCCTGTCTTTCCATATCTTACACAGTACACTTCAAGTATTTTTTGGGTGATAGAGTGAATGTGGAAACACTGCAGTAAAAATAAACCTGCATAGAGTAGTTTAAAAATAATATATATATATTTTTAAAAGTTTTGGCCTTCTGTCAAAGATTACATTAGAAGGTCCAGAAAAAGCACATCAACAACAGCATTAACCCATTCCATGCTGAATAAACACCGACTCTGTAAAGTTATACAGTGAGTGACCCTTACCCTGCTGAATAAAGACTGACTCTGTACGGTTACACAGCGAGTGACCCTTACCCTGCTGAATAGACACTAACTCTCTACGGTTACACAGTGAGTGACCCTTACCCTGCTGAATAAACACTGACCCTGTACGGTTACACAGCGAGTGACCCTTACCCTGCTGAATAAACACTGACCCTGTATGGTTACACAGTGACCCTTACCCTGCTGAATAAACACTGACCCTGTACGGTTACACAGTGACCCTTACCCTGCTGAATACACACTGACCCTGTACGGTTACACAACGAGTGACCCTTACCCTGCTGAATAAACACTGACCCTGTACAGTTACACAGCGAATGACCCTTACCCTGCTGAATAAACACTGACCCTGTACAGGTTATACAGTGAGTGACCCTTACCCTGCTGAATAAACACTGACTCTCTATGGTTACACAGCGAGTGACCCTTACCCTGCTGAATAAACACTGACTCTGTACGGTTACACAGTGAGTGACCCTTACCCTGCTGAATAAACACTGACCCTGTACAGTTACA